CCAGGCCAGGCTGGGCTTCCTACTGCTCTGTGTCCTCACTGGGTTAAGCCCAAGTTTATTCAGTGACTCAGGGGTGCTAGAAAGGTGTCGGGTCTTGCCATGGAGCCAACAAAAGACTAAAGGATCAATATTATAAAATACTGACCAGCACTGACCTGCAGCTTCCCAGCAGGGAGGGCTCCTGGGTGATGGTTTTGCACTGGTGCCAGTTTGCTGAGCACTGTGGTCTGGTCGATGTTTGTTATATGAATAACCTAATATCAGAGATTTTTCATCAACATACTGCCCGGCTGAGAAGCAGCTGGGGAAACCAGCACACTCTGCCTTCGTGGTGTTCCTGTTGCTGCTTGTTCTCAGTAATTCCAGGGTTTTCAGAGCAAACCAGGATTGTTTGTATTTGTTTCTTTGTCTGGACATCTATATGTTAATTATGCTTTTCTGCTTCTGAAAAGGACTAAGTTTAAATTTGACTTTATGATCTGCTCCACTGCTGGTTGCTTCAGAGAGAACAGAACAGCAGCTCTCAAGTCCATTTTTGCTGTGAGTGAGGAGGTGAGAAATGCTACTTTAAAGCTTCCCTTCATGTTATTGTAGTGAGGGGTTGCAGGGCAAAATGGATTAAGAGGTCAGAAAAACCTTATGTAAAAGTGTTGACTTTTTTTTTTGCTGTGCAGGAGTCTAAACACAAACATTTACATACAGACCTGGAAGTGTGGGAGCAGGAGGATTCATTACCTAAGTTCTGGAAGCCGAATATTTGTTTGCAGCCAGGAGTTTGAATTGATTTGAAAGTGCCAAGGAGTCAGTTGCACTTTTCTGTCGGAGCTTTGTGTACAAGATTAGAGACCTAAGGTGACACTGGCGTGCTATTTAATACTTTGTCTGTTCCATAATACCTATTAATCACTGGTGTTTTTAAGTAGCTCAGTGCTGTGCCTGGGTTTTGAAGGCTTGTGCAAAGATATGAAGGTGGCTGAAAATAACCGGATCAGCACAAGCAACTGGATCTTCAGGGGTGTGATGGTTTTGTGCCAAGAACAGGAAAACGTGGGAGGCAGCCTGTTTTAGCCAGTTGTGACAGTAACTTTGGGCTCATGTCAGGAAAGGAAGAGCTTGAAAACCTCGTTCTAATATAAGTTGCTATTGGTTGAATTTTCTGAAGTTGAAATGAAACAATTAGGGAGGCTAAATGAAGAAATCCTGACTCTAGCAGGCAATTTTTTTCCTAATCATATGATGGAGAGGGCAGCAGTGAACACTGTCTTCTGTTTGATAATAAGTTATTTTTATGATAATTAACATTCAAGGGTTGGTTGGTTGTTTTTTTACCCTAGACACAAGTGGCTGTTTGCACGATGTGTTTGGTTTAGGCTGATGAAGCAAACATAATCAGCCTTGCACCGGGCAACTTAATTTCTTTCTTTCTTTCTCCCCCTGTTTTCAGAGTCCTCCTTAAAATGGCCTTTAATGCAAATGTCTCTCAAACAGATTGGAATGTGTGCAGAAGGTATTTTCTGGTAGGTGCAGAGCAAGTGCCACCAGCTCTACGAGTTCTAAATGTTTACTGTGCTATAAATGTACTATAAAGTACAAGATAAGGATTGCAGAAGATAAGAATTATTCTTCTATATAAGCTTTCTAGATAAACATATAAAATTTATATAAACTGTATTAAAGTTCTAGATAAATTTCTCTATAAGCTAAAGTAGTGAAATAACTAGTTTTTTGCTTAAAAAATAATTGTTGCAGAATTGTCATTTCAGGATGGCTCTTTCCTCATGCACCCATATTTGAATGTGCATTTTCTTTGTGCTTCACAATGATGCTGAACTGAAGCAAGACAATAATATTTTAGATGTAAGAGGTTGAAGTGGGTGAGGGGAGGGGAAACCCAGACAATTTATATTAGTTATTAACTTGCAGTCTTTAGTTTTGTTTTGTTTTTAAACATGACTTTTTTTTTAATGTAAGAAAAATAATGTAATGACTTAACTTCTGTGAAATGTCCAATATGGAATTCATTGGAAAAAATACTTCAAGGTGCTTAGAATAAATAACTTTATATAGTGAGGACAAACCCTTCTTGTGTGGGTACAGTATGACCAGAAAGTCAAGCAAAACACACACCAAAAATCATGTTAGAGTGTTCTTTTCCCTTTTGTTCTTTATGTCTGATCATTCTTCAAAGGGTTATTACCAAGAAAAATGCAGAATACAGTGTGAGATTTCTCCACCTCTTCCTCTGCCTCGTGATTGTGTGTCTGGTGACAAGCAGGGAATATACTGGTGCATCTGGGAGAACACCTCAGCCTGTTCAACACAGATCACAGGGTGCAGGGATGACACACAGGAATTTACAACTCATGAATGAGTTGATACTCCCAGAAATTATGAGTCTTTAACCCAGGGAAAGAAGTGTGGCTTTTCTTGATTAAAAAAAACAGTGAATGAGGACTTTCTGTAGCAGGTACCTTGCTCATCTTGGTGAAGTGTTGTCCAGAATCACACTCTCAATTTGAGTGGATTTTTCATATGTCATAGATTTGCTTAAATCACAAATATTTTACTACAATTCTGCTGTGTTTCTAGAGTGATGGACCTCCCTGATGCCCTTCATCTGGTGTGTTCTCACACATTTTCTTAGCATCATCTCCCTCTGCCAAATATAAAACACGGGGAAGGTTAACTTGCAAATCTTGCAAAGATCTGTATCATTCTGTGTATTGGCCACACTGTGGGGCACTGTGTGGTGCTCAGTATGTGCCTTTGTAAGGATTTTATAAAGGGCTAACAAGAATTTGATGCAAATGGTGATTGAAAGGAGTTGAGAACTGGGTATCACTCCCTGAGGCCTCTGGAAATGTTGATCTGAGCACCAAGTCTTTGCAGTGGAGAGGGTCTTCACCTGGGAAGTCCTTAAGGATACAGGTAGGAGTCCTGCTGAGGTCAGAGTGGCTGTTCTCTGAAGTTCAGTAAATGTCTTGGAGGAATCTGAGAGGGTCTGGACAGAGGGTCCCACCCTGTGATGTGGAGGTGCTGGCACAGGAGCGATGTCTTCTACTGAAGTCAGAGAGAGCAACTCAAACACTGTGCAAGCCAAGCTCAGCACCTGCCAGATCTGTTGTAAACACTCTCATCTTTATGGGTAACACCATTGCCCAAATGAGTATTATTTTGTGGCTTCAGAGCTGTGCTGAGCCCTGTGTGCAGTGCCCGTGTGCTGCAGAGCTGCTGCACCAAACCACACTGCCCGAGTGCAGGGTAGGGAGCCAGCCTGGCTTTGCTTTTCCTCAGTGCCTGGTTATATTAGGTTATGTGTGTGTTCCCAAAAGGTATCAAGGGTAATGTTCTTGCTCTTAAAGTTTGTACTTGGTAGGTACTTACTTGGAACAGGGTTGCTCTTAAATTACATTGAATACAATGTTTAGCAGCTTCATACTCTGTGCTTTAGGCTTATTATTGAACATGCACATTTCTAGTTATATGGCACACTTATCTTTTCTCCTTACTTCTTTATCTAAATGCTAGGATGCTGAAGAACTGATTCACCCAGCTCTAGCACGTTTGCATAACTTTCTTCCTGCTGGTTTGTTTGTCATATTGGGTGTTTTTTTTCATAGAACAGCTT